CCACCTGCGGTGTCCGTGGGCGGGGGCGGGGGCGGGGGCGGGGCAGGCGGAGCAGCTGGTGGAGCTGGCGGCGCGCGTGGGCGTGGCGAGCGCCTTCTTGGGGTCCAAGATGGCGGCGTAGGTGCGCAGCTCGTCGTCGCGTTCCGCGAACAGCCGCTCGAGGCGCGCGCGCAGTGCCTCGTTCTCCTCCTCCATCAGGTACAGCCTGCCAACGCCCCCGCACGCGCCGCTTCACTCAAATAAACGCCTTCTTCGACATCAAAACGCCCATGTTGTTTTTTAATACTTTTGCCTGCGTGATCGATTGAGTGGGTGATTCAGGGCGCTACAACGTCCAAGGTCATTATCACAACGCGCCGCTTCAGTCGACAACAACAAGTCGACCCCATCTCGGTCAGGTTTTTGTTCAGTTTTCCTGATTCGTGGATCAAAAATGCTGAAATGGACCCTTGCTTTGCTTCTGGACGTAAATGTAGCTTCACTATGCGCACGTTTTGTTGAACTCTCCTTTTGCTTGTAGTGATAAGAGTAGAGGAACAGGCGTGTTACTATTTTTTAGCAGTGCAGAAAAAAATCATATCTGCAATTCGTTTACCGATGCAAAAATGTCTAGTTTGTTTTCAAATATATCTAATCTCGCGCTTTTTTAAATTTTATTTTTATTTATTTATCTTAACTCTAACTTTTATCTTAACTTTTATTTAACTTTTACTCGTCTTTCAACTATTTATAGTTAAAATGATAGGAAGGGACCCTGGAACTCAAGAAAACGTGCGCAGATGATCTCTTCCATACGTCGCATACTGTTTTTTGACTAAATAAATCTAGATCTAAACAACAAAACGACGATGTTTCAAAATAACCATGTTCAAAATACAAGCATTCATATTTTTCATACACTGCCTCAATGATTGATTGATTGAGATGCGGAGCGCGTCAACTACTAAGGTTAGTAGTCCCGTAAATTTTGGTGGTGGTGGTTGGTTGTGGTGTTTTTTCCTTGTTAGGTTTGGATGATATTTTCCCCCTCGATGCTGACCTCAGGCGCCAACCTACCAGTTAGTAGTAGTCCTCTAGAATTCTCCTCCAGTCAGACACTGAATTCGACCTACCTAGTGTGGAAATAACCTTCCACCGGCGAGGCTCGAACCTAGGACCTCCAGGTCAGAGGCGAAGTGTGACATCCATTGATGTCCTGAGCCACCACTCCCGGTTCATCGCCTCAAATACGTCGTTTATAAACCAGTATTCTAGTACGTTGCCGGTTCGTGCTTACGTTGCAGAGCCCCCATATAATAAAAAAAATATTTATAACGCGCATATGTTATATTGAGATTTTTTCTAACTCTGCCCCTCAATGCCCTACTTCACGGTGTCATTGTGTCACCGTTTTTCGCGTCGTGCCGCAAGATGTCGCATGATCGCAACCGATTAGCAGTGCCGGATATGGTCGCGATCATGCGTCATCTATCGGCACAACCAACGCACGAAATACAGTGACCTAATGCGTGAAGTAGAATCTGTAGGGGTAGAGTTAAAAATAGCGCATATAAGAAAATACATTTTCATTTTAATGACATTCAATATTCAAAATATTGCAGGAATATCAATGAAATAATTTTTTTGAAATCTAAGAGTGCCCAACTAGCGTTCTCTGCAGCGTCTCGTGCTCATCCAGACAGTGCATCATTCACTCGCTTA